TGCGTGCGTGCGTGCGTGCGTGTGTGTGTGTGTGTACGATTTATTTTTTTGTTTTTCTCTACAAGGAAAGGAAAAAAAGATGAATTTGAATTATTCTAAGATTTTTAAGGCCCAATCTAGTTGTTAGAATTGAAAATTCAATTCTTAAAATTGAAAAGAGATGAGGAATAAGTTGAACCTCGAGTAAGAATTAACTGTAAGTTGAAACAGGCCATTTTTTTTGTTTGCGAGAGGAGGAAAATCTTCACAAAGCCCATTATCCGGGATGCTTCCAAAGGGAGAACCCAACCGGATGATGGGAAGATGCCCAGAGGGCAAAGAGACGTAACGAGCGAAATAAGTATGTAGATGCCCAGGAATTATTTACTATAAAGAAGCTTACATTTGAAACCGAATAATGAAGCATTTCCAAGGAAAATGGAAGGGAGCTGATTGGTGATAGATTTTACAAACCTGTCAACCCTAGGATGACATTTAGAATAATAGTGATTTTTTCAGATATATTTTTTACATGTCAAAATTTTAATTTGTGCGTTTGACTGAGTTGGAGTGGTTTGCATTGACTCAAGTTTGATACTACAAAATCAAAACTTTTACACCATTAACTCCGATTGTCATCTGATTTTCACTTATCAACGAAGTTTCGATGACTAATCAATTGAGAGAATTGACAATTGTAATTTCATCAAGGATGTTTTAGAGAGATTCCAACGAAATATTATGACAATATAGTTTATTGAGTCTCTTATCCATTGAACGGCCGGCGCCGCTTGTCTGCCTGCGCACCTGGCCCGACGTCCGTCAAGTTGCCGAAAGCACGCATACATGTGGTATATGTAGTGGCCCCACTGTAGTGATAATCGCTACGCTACAAAGGATTCAGCACTTATTTCAGGACTAATAATTAATATGTACATTTCCAATAATTTTCTGTACAAGGATCTCAAGATTTACAATACTTTTTACGTTGTGTCAAAACTAGCAATAGAGAGTTTTTGTAATACCGTTTATTCAGATATGGTGAACGTTAAACTCAGGTTATCCCTTTTTCTTAACAATTAATTAAGAAAAAGATAACGTGATTGTAGCGTTCATCGTATTTAGATTCACGTTATTGCAAAAACTCCCTTAGTTTACATTAAGAACGATAATAATTTAGCGACTCGATATTTCGACTTTATTTTTGTTATTAAGTTATCAATTTTATACGCTGAAGAAGTGACCCGTGGTCACGAAACGTGTTTATTGGATTTTATTCAATAAATGTTTTAATTATATTTAACTAATATATCTGACAATTAGCTCGATCATTGACCTGACTTTCTCACAGTTGCTTTGCATAATACGAGCGAATTCTATACTTTTAAAAATATAAATTTTTTTATAAAGAGTGATCCACAAATAGTTATAGTGGTTTTATCCCATACTTACACAAAGTGTTTATTTCACATAGAAACTCGTTAAATTACTTCTTAAAATTATCATGTGTCTCAGAAATTATGAAAAATATATTCTTAAGTTTTCAACAGCATAATTAAATATTATTTTTTCCTTTTCTTATATAATTAAAAATTTTTTTCATTATAATGTTTTAAATGAGGAATAGTATTGTGTGATTTAGGCAACGGATTTTCTCGTACTAAAAAATCATTTAAAACGTTATAAGAAACGGTTTCTTACGGTTTTTTTGTTTTCTAAGCTAAAATGACGTCATTAATCTAGATTACCTTCCAGCTGTGCTGTGCACATTTGAAGTTTTATGCACATTTGAACAGATTATTTCGGCTACGGTGCAAGATGAAATTGTCTGAAAATCATGTATTTTCATACAAAATTAGTCGCTAAATGAGAAAATGATAAAATTAAAGCGGAAATAAAGGAAGATGTTGCAAATATGTATTTTTAATTCAAAATTTTCGATCTTCCTACAAAAATGGTCATAACCATGGACGTATAAAGTACCTGGACGGAGCATAGCGCCTCGGGGTAAGACACAAATGGTGAGGCGAATAAAATTTAGTTATTGAAACCAATATCTCAGTCACGTCAGGCAATGACCGTGCGACGGAAACGCGATGAGGAACAATGATGAAACGATGCTCCGTTTCATCATTGCTCCTTTTACCATTCAGACCTCACTCCCCGCGTCTATAGCTCTCTATGCTCCGTCCAGGTTATTTTACACGTCTGTGTAAGAGTCCGCGCACAAAGATGGTCGCAACTGAATCGTAGGTTGTCGTAGGTCAACGCACAAGGATTTTACGTATATCCTATTGCGTTAGTTGACGCAAACAACGGTTAGTGTGTGTTTGCTCTGAAGAAGGGTCAAAAATGAGTCGAAACATGTAAGCGCGTTTTAGTGAATAAAGAAGTTCCACTCTTTATAAGTGTATTATTTGCACGACGTCTTCTGCGCCCCACTCCTAAGTGCCCTTACTCTTTCCAATTCTTTGATTTGTAAGGAGTCTTGAGTATTAACGGATTTAAGTCAAAGTTTACGAGTACAATGAGAAACCATACAAAATCCAGACGGATGGTAATCCTAAACAAACAGAATGGACTGCGCGATCCGTGTATCAAAATGACTTATAAGTTAGCGGAACAAAGTGAGCGGTATCGATTGTATGTCGATTGTAACCAACATGTTTATTTGTTGCTCATTTGTTGCTAAAAAGTTGCCAAAAAAAAATTTGTTGCTTTGTCGGTTTATTTAAAAACCGATGTTCCGCTAAAAAGGAAGATTAAGTTAGTGGAACAATACACCTGTAACAAAGCCAATCTACGCAAAATTAACGTAGTTTGTTGCTAATTTGTTGCTGACAAAATATCATTTTATTTTGAATATATTACATACTAAAAAAATGTATATAACGAGAAGCCTCAACGTGCTGGCGGAACAAGAGTAAACTATTAGTAAAAGATTTGTTGCTCTCGAAATATGCAATTTACAAATTTGTTGCTTACAAAATAAGTATAAATAACAACGAGGAGGCTCAGCGTTGAGCGTGCTTGGCCGAACAAAAGGTGCACGTGCTCGCGCCGCGATGACGCGGTGTTGCGGCGGCGCGACGTTGCAGTGCACCGGCGCGAGCACGTATGCGCCTTTTGTTCCATCAGCACGCTGAGGCTTCTCGTTGTTATTTATACTTATTTTGCAAGTAACAAATTCGTAAATTGCATATTTCGAGAGCAACAAATTCAGACGGCATCCCAGTACCAATTTTAAGCGAGCAAACGTTACAAACGTTTCGAAGCGTTCTTTGATTGGTCAATAGAAACAGAGCCCTATACGTATCAATAGAATAGTACATATAGTGGTGGAAACTTTACCTGCTTCTACCCCATACCTGCTTTTCATAACGCTACTATCTTTGAAATCCTTCAGTTCTTGCGGTGCTTTCGTAAGAATGACACCATATAACTTGAGATTTCGACGCAAAATGGGTAATCGTAAGAAAGAAAGTGAGTATCCCGAGTTATTACACCGCGTTTCGCGACAGCATTTCTCACGCATAAAAAATTCAAATTTTCTGTGAAAGTAGAGATGAAATCTAGTACCGGCGTGCGTTTAATTTGGTGATATCAAATCGTTTGCGGTTTTTGTGCACGTTCGAAGTTTAGAGATCACTTCGTCTGCGTCGCGAGATGAAATTTTACAATTGTCTGAACATTATGTACATATTTCCACGTAAATTGATCGCTGAATGAGAAAACAATCAAATTAAATTTTTTTTGGAGTAGAACAAAATGGTGAAAAAATGTATTTTTAGTAGTCGAAAATCGCCATTTAGACCGTGATCTGAAAATGCTCATAAATCCCTCTCTCTCATTATTGTCGACCACATTTGATACACTTAGATACGCGCAGTCCATTCTTTATATCTTTGGCGCAGATTAACGCAGAAGCTTGAATCGAGTCTGGAGACCAACTCCTCACTTCAGACTCTCTGAAAACCGCAATATCAGGGTACCTATTATGAAATATGTCGGAATGGATTCCGATCGAAATTATTCCGTTTTCCCTAGAAAACACAATAGAAATCTAGGAAATAATTGAATATTTCCGATCGGAATCGATTCCGACTTGTTCTATGATAGGTACCCAGTTGTCGGTGTCGTTGCGTAGCTTTTTCACCATATAAAATATCTGCGCAACGACACCGATAATTGTCGGTAGGCATGTAAAGACACTTATAGAATAGGAGCCCTGATTTCTGAGCCGTCTTTGTTAATTTAATAGCTTATATTTAATAGTATAATACATAATATATAAAAAATTATCTGCAATTCTTAGGTAATAGTAGACTAGGGTTATGGTCACAGTAAACTGAATCGATTCATCGAGAATTTTTAAAGTTTTGGGAACGATCTAAAATATTTTCTTATTACAGTGCCTTACTGCAATCGACGGCTCGCCACAAGAAGGGCGTCGCCTCCCACTGACGATGAACAAAGTATATCATCGGAAGCGGAAAACACATCGCCACGTGGGTCGCCTTTGAATCGCGGAGACAATCGTGTAAATCGACGTGCTGTCGCCGCACAAAATGCCACGGGGAGAAGGCGACGAGGAAACCTGCCCAAAGAGGCCGTAATTATTTTGAAACGGTGGCTGAGCGAGCACAAATTCAATGCTTATCCAAATGACGTTGAAAAGGAGGCACTCAGCAGCCAAACTAGCCTCACGATAATGCAGGTAAATGCTCTTTTTACTAGATATTACTGAAAATGTATCGATATCTAATGATTTATCGAGATCGCGTGTATATGTGTTGTGTGCATAGTAGTAATGAAGAAATGATGGGACCATATACACTCACAGACAAAAAAAATGGGCACTAAATTTTAGCCACAAATTTTTAATATCTTCAAAAAAAAAATAGCAATAACTTAATAAAAAATCATCATAGCGAGACGTTCAAAAAAGGATTTTAAAGCTTGAAATCTGTACTTTTCAGACCGCTACTTTAAAAAACGGTCGTACTAATATTATGTGAAGTTATACAAACAAATGAAGATGCATAAAATTTTAAAATTTTTCACGAAATTTGCGAAGTTCCATGGCGCCAATTAAAAATTGAGCACAAATGGGATTTACAGCTTTCGAAAGAGTGAATCTTTACCTTTAATTTGCTTTTTTATAGATCTCTGTACGATTTTTTTTCACCGAGTTATTCAACGTTGAAGAAAAAACAACCCTTTTTACTATCAAATTAAATCACTAAATATCAATATATTTTCATTGACAAATGTTGCAAATACAACGTGTAATCGAGATTTCAATCAAATGGCTATACTTATTATTTGCACCACGTGCTATCAATATATGTATAATGGCTCCCTTAGAATAGGACTCCGCACAATAAAAGGAACAGAGAACAGAGAATAAGAATTTCAACCTATCAGAAATCTGGAGACACTGGTAGTGTCTCGGCGCTATGCCAAGCGCAGCGACACTGCCGTGGATACTATACGCGAATCTGTCAAGTCAGGGGCCGTCTACAATACACGGAGTAAGAAGTAAGAGTAAGAAATTGACCAATCACAGTCGATTATTCTTCTCACATTCGACTGTGATTGGTCAATTTCTTACTCTTACTTCTTACTCCGTGTATTGTAGACGGGCCTTCATGTATGACGCGAGGGGAGCCGCTATTGTGTGCCCTCCAACAAGCGACATGGCGCAACACAGGAATGTCATCTTTGTTTAACATTGGCAAACAACAAGAATATAATGTTTATTGTGTCACACCGTATCACTTGTATCGCTTATTGGAAGGCATACATATACATTATAGTAGGGGAGGCCGAGAGGCTAAATGTGGATTTACT